TATTTTTGGAAAGTCCATGTGTACTAGTGTCGTTAAGAATTCAGTGCAGTTTAGTTTCAAGTCAGGAGCCCATACGATTTTTCGACCCTCAATTTCAGCTTCGCATGCCCCGAGTGATGTTCAACAATTTGATTTTCCCCATTGGTCAGTCACCACTCAATGCGAATTCAACTATTCTGCTATTGGGCCACCGCCAAGTGCGTGTTTACGGAAATAGAGGGGGAGAAGATAGCACTAAAAAAAAGGAAAAGATAACGACTGAGCGCCTTTGTTTCATCACGAGAACTTCCAACATAAACAGCGATGTTTCAATTCTCGTTTGTGAAAAAAAAAAATTCAAGAAACGTGAATTCGATACTTTTATTCCTCATTTCCGTGGAAATATTTAGCCTCGCTGAGGCGACCTCGACGTTTCTATTTTTAAAGTAGACGAGTTAACAGTCGCAGTCGAAGGGGGTCATCAACCTCTCTTTTTTTATTTTCCCCTCCCTCTCTCTCTCCGAGAATTCAATGATCGTTCGTTTCTGTCTCCGTGGACGTGAAAAATGTTTGTCTGGCTCGGGGGGGATTATTTATCCCCTCCACCCTTGGATTCACGGACGATTACGCCTCCCTGCAGGCTTCGATGCTGTACCTCGACAGCGTTCGTTTGGGGTCAGAAGAGAGAGGGGTGGAGCGATCATTCTAGTCCGCGTTTTCCTTTCTTCCCCATTGAGTTCCCCACCCTCTCATTGCGTACACGATGCCACGACCTCGAGTTCGACTCAACGATGCCTCATCTATCAAACCGTATCGCCTCCCCACTGCTATTTTTTTCCTCCCCTTTCAATTTTTTTTTATCGATTCGCTTGGACTTCGACTCTCGTTCTTGTTATGTGGTAAATGCCCTTGTGTACTGACATTCTGAGGGGAAAAGTGGAGGATTTGCGGGGAAGAGTAGCGAGACGTTTCAGTAGAGGTCAATAAGTTTCGTCGATGGGTAAACAAAGTTTTGTGGATGTAAATTGCCGGGGAGTGACAGGAGAGTGTCGCTGTAGTGGGAAAAATTGGTGGGGCATTTGTTTTGTTTGAGTGGAAAATGTGATTTTTGCTGAGAATTCATGGAATGATAAATTTCAAACAGAAGTGAACGGTGAATTTTATAATTTGCTTGAAGTTTTAGTTAGTTTGATATTCGGGAATATACTCCCCTGCATTCTTCGGGATTTTTCTTATTTTTAGTGAATAATTCCCCTGACATTGCAATTTTTGCAGAAAATTCAAGTGAATTCATGCATTTCAAGTAATAACACTGATTTTTAATTTGATATGAATATTTCATATAATTTTTCAAAATTTCCCCGAAGGATTGAATCGAAAGTCACAATTTCCCTTGACCTTCTCATCACATTGTGATTTTTCAATGCTCAATTTTCCACAAAATTCCCCTGCAAATATCACTTTTCCCATTGTCTCATTTTTCAATTCTCCCTCACAATCTGAATTCCTCGAGTGAATTTCCATAAACAAATCGACATTCCCCCTCAACATTCAATTTCCCTGCATCAGAATACCCGCATTACATCCACCCAAGCCATTAATCCCCCTCAACCTAAAAAAAAAACATTGACTCTCACCCGCATGAAAAATCAAAACGCCACGAGTCCGCGTCAACTGCCGATAAAATTCTCGAAGGATACAAGAACCATTGTGTCACTTATAGAAATCCCCCGGTGTTCCGGCGCCTGTGCAGAAAGCGTAGAAATTGGTCCAACGTTTTATTTACGTCTGCCACAATTCCCGGCCACCAGTGGCAAAACACAGAAAAAAAACCAAAACAAAACGCTAAGAATCAATTACAAGTTTACAAAATAAATAACGCGAATCCATTTCAAGGTCAATAAGTCAGGCCACAAGCATCCATTGACGGTCATTCGTCTTTGTTTACATTCCAGTGAACGTAAATACGAGAGACAAAACGTAAATACTACACAGCGTAACTGGTTAATCCCAGAATAAGACGAAATTTAATCCGCAAATAAATAGACGACAGAGAGTGTTGGAAGTGAAACGAGATGAGGATGCGTAATACCTTTTTTGGCAATCGCGTCTCTCTCTCTCTCTCCCCCTGTTTCGTACTTTTATTTTTATTTTTATCATATCTCGTTTGTCCGGTTTCCATTTTGGAGGCGATTTTTCAAATGCTGCCCCGGAGAGATATCGCCTCGCTCGACCGGTCTGGTTTCCCGTCTCATTCCACCGGAGCGAAGGGAATGGAATTGGAAAAAAAAACGAATTGAGGAGACGAGTTTACAGCACACTTGACTCCGTTGATTTCGTCGGCCGATTAAAGCGAAAGGAACTCACTTGACCTTCGGTCCAACTTCTTTATCTCATTTTGTTCCTCATTTTAGGGCGAAATACCACAAACACGACGCGACTCGTTCACAACGATACCCCAATCTCAATCTAGAATGGCGATAAAATCATCGGAATTTACTTGTTATTGTGCTCACACATCACCCACCTTTCTTTTTTTGTCTCACGGTTTTTAATGCGAGTGCATTTGTTATTGCTGCTGCGGGGGAAAATGTGTGTTGGATGCAGAATTGAGAGTCGCATTGGAGCAACAGAGTGCAACGATTAACACGCGCTTGACGCGAAGAAACTGGACGCGTAACAGTGTAAATAACTTGCGCAAGCGTTAATGAATGCTTATCTCTCCGTTTCTCTTTTATTAATTCTACTACTTGGTGAATTTTTCTTGGGAATCACGCAGCCGATGAAAATACGAATTGGAACTTCACGTTCAGCGATGAATAATCAGAAATTGTGATTTATCTTTAATTTTTTTTCATTGTAATATGGCAAACTATGAGATTAAAGAGTTTACGGGGAAAATGAGAACACGTTTTCAGACAAGACATTCGAATTGAGTTAAACTGCTTTTTTAAAGTTGTTTATTCATGCAGAACAATGATAATAATTTACGATGTGTTTGTTTGGATCAAGAGAACATTTGTTTGCTCTTGAAAATTGATTTATTTGATGGAGATTTTCAAGATGAATCGATTTTTTTTACATTATCCAATACAAATTGAATTTACATTCACAATATTCAGAATTCAGATGCAGCTGTTACTTGGATTTCCGTAAATTTTTAACAGAGCCATTTTTATTGAACGATTTTCCTATTATTTATTGTTTAACATTCATTTGTCAATGGGTGATATGTTTATACGGAAATTTCATGGCATAAACTAAGTGAAGAATAATAACAAATTATGTTGCATCTCAATTTTTTCCCTCGCGAACTTGACGATAAAAGAGATTACGAAGAACATGAAGCCAATTTGCATTAAAAAATCCATAAATGATCTAATCCTGATTAAATTTACATTCCCAACATTCAGAATTCAAACGCACCGGTTACTTGAGTTTCAATAAAATTTCCAACAGTGCGAATTTTCCAGAGCGATTTTTCAGTTTGTAACATTCATTTATCAGTAGTTGAACGTATAAGTGGAAATTTCGTAGCACAAATTCAATAGAGAGTAATCACAATTTATGTTGTACCTCAATTTTTTCCTTTGCAAACTTCATGATAAAAGAGTTTACGAGGAGTTTTCAACAAACAGAGGAGAATGAGGCCAAGTTTTTTGTGGGGGGGG